CCCGCCCTGGTGCTCTACATGTGGACTGCTCGATCTGCCCGACGCCCTGCTGCCGACTGCCCGCCCTGTCGGCAGCAAGCAGCTGATCGTGCTGGGGAACAAGGTGGACCTGCTGCCCCAGGACGCCCCCGGCTACCTGCAGCGGCTCCGCGAGCGTCTGTGGGACGACTGTGCCCGCGCCGGGCTCCAGCGGGACCCCGGCCGGGGCGGGCCACCTGGTAGGGAAGAGAATTCCAGTCCTTCGGCCAAGTCCCGTACTGTCCTCAGGGACGTGCGGCTGATCAGCGCCAAGACCGGGTACGGAGTGGAAGAGCTCATCTCCGCCCTGCAGCGCTCCTGGCGCTACCGCGGCGACGTCTACCTGGTGGGCGCCACCAACGCGGGCAAGTCTACTCTCTTCAACACGCTCCTGGAGTCGGATTACTGCATCGCCAAGGGCGCCGAGGCTATCGACCGAGCCACCATCTCCTCTTGGCCTGGTGAGCTTTAGGGGGTCCGCCCCCTGCGTTTTCTGAGATGCTTAATGTCCACCAGGTACTGTCTGTAGCCTTCCCGTTAATAATTTTCTCCCTACTTTAATAACACCTCTCTTCTGTGTCAGCGTAGTGCTTGGAAATGTAGTAGTTGCAGTCATTTTCTAATAGAATTATCTATGGAGCTCTTCTATGTTCCAGGCACTGTTCCAGGCACTAGAGATAAACCAGGCGGCAAAGTCCCTGCTCTCCTTGAGGTTTCCCTTGGAGCTTTACTTTGGATGTGTACATGGAAGTCCTTGGACTTTCTAAACCTACCTCCACTATCTTGAGTTTATTCGTGTGATCAGTATACTCTACACATTTAACCTTTGAATAATTCACTAATGCAGTACGACGTGTGGCTTTGTTGAAAGCAATGTCCATTTTGTGGTGTGTTCGTTTTGTTAATCCTCACCCAGAGGATATTTTTTCCATTTTTAGAGAGAATGGAAGAGAGGGGGGAGAGAGAGAGAAACATCACTGTGAGAGAAACATTGATTGGTTGCCTCCCGCATGAGCCCAGACCTGAGACTGGGGATTGAGCCTGCAACCTGAGGTACATGCCCTTGACCAGAATTGAACCTGGGACCCTTCAGTCCATGGACCAATGCTCCATCCACTGACCCAAACTGGATAGGGCTCGATTTTATGGTTTTAACAAACTTCTGTAATTACAAAATGGGTCCTTTTATGACCCTGTTTGTATTTAACATTTGACAAAACTGCCTCATTTGTTCCTTCGAAATCAGTGTTTAACTTCCCTGTTGTGGACTTGGGCTGAACTATTCACAGAAGTGCTTTTATGTAAGATGGTAGTATGTGAAAATGAAAAGAAATCAGATCTGCAGATTTGGGATTCACATCCTGGTTGAGCCTGTAAGCCAGTCTCTGAACCTATTTCCTCGTCTATAAAGTAAGAATAATTTTGTCATGAAGTTCAGTGAAATAAAACACAGTACCCAATTCAGTGTGTAGCTCCTCAGAAATGTTACTTTTCTGCCCCATATTCCCTTGTGCAGTTTTATTAAAATATATTTTTTGGTATTTCAGGTACCACACTGAACCTTCTGAAGTTTCCTATTTGCAACCCAACTCCTTACAGAATGTTTGAAAGGGGGAAAAGGCTGAAAAAATATGCAACTGAAGCTGAAGAAGATCTTAGTCAGCTAGAAAGAAAACAACTTAATCTCTTAAAAAAGCATGGTTATGTAGTAGGTAAGCATCTTCTACAAGAAACTCTTGTGTGGTCTATGCTAAAATTCTTTGTTGAGCAACCTGAAATACAGCAGTAAAAGCATTTCCACTAAGATACAGCCCCTCCGTGCAGAACAGTAGAGTTGTTGACTCCATGCAGCAGCTGTAAAATAGATGCTCCCTTTCCTTGGTATCTCTTTTCAACCTTCATTTACTACAAACAGTTTGATTTACAGTAATTTCCCTCATACGCGATGTACACAGCCAGGCACACACTTGATCAATGCAAGAGTGTGACTCCTGCTGTTGTTGTTAATCCTCACCCGAGGATATTTTTCCATTGACTTTTAGGGAGAGTAGAAGAGAGAGGGAAAGTCTGAGAGAAACATTGATGTGAGAGAAACACATCAATTGATTGCCTCCTGCATGAGCCCTGACCAGGGCCCGGGCTAGGGAGGAGCCTGCAACCAAGGTACATGCCCTTGACCGGAATCGAGCTGGGGACCCTTTGGTCCACAGGCCAAAGCTCTATCCAGTGAGCCAAACTGGCTAGGGCCTGATGACTTTTTTTTTTAATTCTTTATTGTTTAGTATTACATATGTCTCCTTTTTCCCCCATTGACCTCTCCCCAGCCATTCCCAGCCCCCACACAAGCCCTCACCTCTTTGCTGTCTGTGTCCATGGGTTATGCTTATATGCATGCATACAAGTCCTTTGGTTGATCTCTTAGCTTGACCGGCCCCCCCCCCCCCCCCGCCCCCGTCCGTAATTCTTTCCCTCCCACGGCCCCATTGTTTTTTTTAAAAAAAACAAAGGTATTTTTCCTTTTGGGCCCCCCTTTTTTTAGCCCAAAGTTTTTAGAAACTTGTTTGAAGCAAAAATAAAAAAAAACTTTCTTGGAAACCAATTTTAGGAAGATTTGGGAGAACTTTTTTTGTTTTCCGAAAGACAAAAGAGTAAAGCTGCCTTTTGGGTTTGATCTGATTCCCCTTGCCTATAAAAGGGAAAAGGAACCTGTTATGTTTTCAAGTTAAACCCCCCCAAAAAAGAAACTGACCCCAGAAAGATGTTGAAAGATGCCCACTGGTTTTATGACACCCCTGGAATTACAAAGGAAAATTGTGTATGTATTTGATGTGTTTTAAAAACATTAATTTTCTTTTCTTTCTCTTTCTGTTGATTGTTACAGATGTCCCCCAATTTCTCCACCCTTTCCCTCCCTCCACCCTGCCCCACCCCCCTTCCCATTAAGCCTTCACCATATTATTGTTTGTGTCCATGGGTTATGCATATATACATGTATATTCTTTGGTTGCTTTCTTCCCATCCTCCCCTCTGAGATCCGTCAGTCTATTCTATTTAATTATGCCTCTGGTCCTATATTGTTCTTTTGATTCTACATATAAGTGCGATCAGGTGATATTTGTCCTTCTCTAAATGGCTTATTTCACTTAGCATAATAATCTCCAGGTCCATCCATGCTGTCACGAAGGATAAGAGTTCCTTCTTTCTTACAACCACGTAGTATGCCATGGTGTAAATGTACCACAGCTTTTTTATCCACTCATCAACTATTGGGCACTTGGACTGTAGGAACGTTAACTTTCAATTGCATGAGTACTGTCTTAATTGGTAGAACACAAAAAAGGAGATATACTTTCATGATAGACTCGGTTCTGATTCATTCATAGAAATGGTTCAGGGATGAAACTATATGCCATCAAGTTCTATATTTAATTTGTTGGGCTTCACTGCTGACACCCTACTTGTGTTATTGTGCTTGTTACCTTAGTTAGGGAGACATGTATAGAATCTTAGATTTTGAGGTTGGAAGAAATTATAAATATTACTACAGTCCAGCCACCTATTCCATGCTTGAAGTACCTCTATAACACATCCATCAGAGGGCATCCAGCTTGAACTGAAGTGAGGAGTGACTCCTCATCAGCTGAAGCAATGTCACCTTGTCGCCCAGGGTAACCTGTGTGATTTTGACCTGCTCTTTGTATTGAGCTGAACAGTCTTCCTATAACTTGTACCCATTGTTCCTCAAAGCTTTGAAATAGCCGAAACCGGTTTGGCTCAGTGGATAGAGCGTCGGCCTGCGGACTGAAAGGTCCCAGGTTCGATTCCGGTCAAGGGCATGTACCTGGGTTGCAGGCACGTCCCCAGTAGGGGATGTGCAGGAGGCAGCTGATCGATGTTTCTCTCTCATCGATGTTTCTAACTCTCTATCTCTCTCCCTTCCTCTCTGTGGAAAATCAATAAAATATATTTTTAAAAAAAAACTATCTTTAAAAAAAAAAAAAAAAGCTTTGAAATATGTTAAAGTATAATGTCCTATCTCTTCCTCCCTCTATTCTTTCATTAGTTCATCCAACAAACATTGAATATTTTCTATGCTGACATAATCCAGATTACTTGTCCTTATTTTCTACATGTGTTCTCTCTGAGAGATAAGCTGTTCATCAACCAGGCCCCTTTCAGAATGTTTTCTAATTTGTTTTTGTTGTTAAGATTATGACACTAAGAATGACATTTCTCTTGCCCTGGCCAGGTGGCTCAGTTGGTTGGAGCCTCGTCCCATACACCAAAAAGGTTGCAAGTTCTGTCCCTGGTCAGGGTGCGTATGGGAGGCAACCCATCGATATTTTCTCTCTCTCTCTGCCCCCCTTTCTCTCTCGAAGTCAATAAACATCTCAGGTGAAGATTTAAAAAATAAAAAGAATGGAATTTCTTGTATGAGTGCCCTCATTTCGGCATAATTTAGAACAAGATTAACGTTACCTGTCTTGCCCTTGTACATTTTTTTTCCCCATTGATTTTTTTTTTTTTTTTTTTTTAGAGGGAGTGGAAAATAAAGGGAAAGACAGAGAGCTATGGATGTGAGAGAAACACATCAATTGGTTGCCTCCTGCACATGCCCAACCAGGGTCCGGGCCAGGGAGGAGCCTGCAACCAGGGTACTTTCCCTTGAGTGTAATCAAACCTGGGACCCTTTGGTCTGCAGGCCCATGCTCCATCCACTGAGGCAAACTGGCTAGGGCCCCTTGTACATCTTTTTAATTCAACCACAGTATCTCCTGGGCAGCTTTGATCCTATCTCATTAAATTCAACCTATATCCTACATACTTTTTAAGTCTCACAGTTTTTTATTTATTTGCAGTTTTGATCATCATCATGAATGATCATCATCCATTCATTGACTCAAGTGTACAGCCAGGATACAGCCTTACTGCAGATCTATTAATCAGCTTCCATTGAATCTGGTTACTGACCAGTATCTAATTCACCTAATTATCTCTGTATCTCCCTGTGAAACAACATTGGTTTCTTAGGTACTTTTCCTTCCTTTGCCTCATCAGGATTACTTAAGAGTTTCATTCTCAGAATGGTATTATCACTTTAACTTCAATTCATGTTTCCCTTTTAGAATCAGGTCAAGGATAGCAGTTACTTTAGTCATATACACTTCTTGTCAAATAGTCAGAAAGGCAAGAATTTGCTAAATATTCTAGCCCAGCAGAATCAGACCCTTAAGTGTTGAGATATAAAGAGTCTTTAAGTTGTTTAAGGTACTTTGCTTCTAGTATCAGTTTATTGATTAATTTATTTGATGCCTTAAATCAGTTTCCCAAAACGAACCAAGAAATTCTGTTGTGAAATGGAAGTCTTATGGAAATCTTAGGTGTTTAAAGGTTTCTTTACTGCAGGTGGCTTTTTTTTTTTTTTTTTTTTTTTTTTTTTTTTTTTTGAGAGAGAGGAAAGGACAGGGAGATGGAAACATCAATGTTGAGAGAGAATCATTGATCGGAAGCCTCCTGCATACCCCATACTGGGCCTCGAGCCCCAACCCATATATGTGCCCTGACTGGAAATTGAACCATGACCTCCTGGTTCAAAGGTCAATGCTCAACCACTGAGCCATCTAGCCAGGGTGGTATCACATATTTTCTATTTCTTTAAGCAAGTTCACAAAAGTTTTCTTTTATCCCATTTTTTTTACCTTCCCTATTCTTTTTCTTGTTAAATCAAATTTTGGTTCCTTAAATCTTACTAGGATATTGTACTTCCTGGCTTTCCTTTTCTGTTTTCTTTAGTCTATTAAGGAACTCTTCATCCTTAGAAGCCACTTTTTGCTGAGTATTTGGGGTAAATAAGGAAACTAAAGACCGGAATTTAGGAAGAGTTTGTTCAAGCTCTTTACCTGTTCCTAAAATGCTGTGACCATTTTGCATTTAATTCGCACATACTTGCCACTAGGACATAAGATAACTTATTACTTTACCTTTAGCTGAAAACTGCTGCTCCCTATAAGCCTTGATGGTGAGAACATTTATTCTCTTTTGGAATTGAATCATCACTGTTTTCAGTTCATGCCAATTTTGACATTAGGGGGATTCTACTGACATAAGAAAGAAAATCGCACGCTCATAAATTTATTTTGTCATTACTCAAGATTAAGTTGTGAAACAAGAGTAGAGCCATTAGTAAATTGATTCATTTTGATGGAGAGAATGAATAAATTTTATGTGCAGCAAATTATGACATACTTTGGTTTAGTGTGAAGTCTGGAATATTTTTTTCATCACTGTTTATCTCTTAGGTAAATCATATATTTTCAATAAAAGTAATTCTTTCAAAATATCTACCCTTTACTTCACAGATTTTAAAACTTCTAACAGAAAAAGAAGTGAATATTGTCTTGCCAACGCACTCCATTATTCCAAGAACTTTTGTGCTTAAACCTGGAATGGTTCTATTTTTGGGTGCCTTAGGACGCATAGATTTTCTGCAGGTAAGGGAAGTCTGTATCATCAAAAAGTTACTTAGTCCCCAGCTGGTGTGGCTCAGTGGTTGAGCGTCGACCTATGAACCTGGTGGTCATGGTTCGATTCCCGGTCAGGGCACATGCCTGGGTTGTGGGCTTGGTCCCCAGTGTGGGGCATGCATGAGGCAGCCAATCAATGATTCTCCCTCATCATTGATGTTTCTATCTCTTTCCCCCTCTCCCTCTTTGAAATCAATAAAAAAAAATGTGACAGTTTTCAGATTTATTTCAAGGAAGCAGATTTATGAATAAGACTGACAAAATGCTGATCATGACTATGTGGGGCATTGATATACTATTCTCTTTTTTTTAAATGCCCATTCTAAAAACTTGGTAAAATTAATGGGGGGCGGGGGGGAGCGGAATATGGTAGTTGGGCTTAAAACTATCTTCAATAGGATGCTCAGGCCCCATACAGCTTAGCATTAAGAAAAGATACTGCCCTATCCTGTGGTATTGTTTCACAGGGAAATCATTGGTCAAACATTTAAGTACGTACAGGGTTAATATGCATTAAATAAATTCCACAATTCTTTATGTCCCATGTTATGTATGCTTTTATATATGGTTTTGTTTGGGTTTTCATAGCATCATTCTGGGGATTTTAGAGTATCTATAGAAGTGCTCCCCGAACAAGGAAAGTGAAACATGGATATGTTCAACAACACATTTTGCAACTTGCAGGCCATTGCTTTAGTACATTTCTTGGGTTTGGTGTTTGTTCATAATTTGTTGGAAATTTATCTTTACACACTTAAAACCCATATATATTTCTTTGAAGCTCACAGAAAGTTAATTTTTTAAACAGGGACAGTTGAAGAAGACAGTATTCCCCTTTGTTTTTAATAAAATTACCATTTCTTTAAACAATTATCAATAAGCCTATGAGAAGGAATTATAGTTTTACATCAATTGTTGAAATGCACAGCTTCTGCCACATTGTACCCTTATTCTTAGGCATTAATATAGTTTTATTACCAGTACTTGTAAGGGAGCTGTGTTGTTGTTTTTTAATTGTGCCTTTTCTGTTTTTGCAAGTTTTTCATTGTGTAAAATAACTTCTTTCTTTCTTAAGGGAAGTCAGTCAGCTTGGTTTACAGTAGTGGCTTCCAACTTCCTTCCTGTGCACATTACCTCCTTGGAGAAGGCAGACACTATATATCAGAAGCACGCAGGTGATATATTACTCAAGGTGAGGCGACACACTGATGATTGCATGGTTAGGTTAGCATACACCTTGATAGTCCCACAGCTCTGCTAAGAAAGCCTTTGTTAGAACCATCTTTGTTATACCATCAGCTAGCTCTCCCCTCACCTTGTTCTCCTTGAGGATTTGGCTATGAAGTGAAGTGCGCCCTGTAAGAAAAGGGATGTTGGGCTGATCCTAGAATAGCTACTGAGCTGTGTTTTCCCTAGACTACACTGTCCAATATGGTAGCCACATGTGGCTCTTAAATTTAAATTAATTAAATAAAATTTAAAATTTAGTTCTTCAGTTGCACTAGCCACTTTTCAACTGCTCAGTAGTCACATCATTGCAGAAAGTTTCATTGGATAATGCTGAGTGAAGAGAAGTTACAGATTTTCTCACAACTGGGGGGTGCTACTGGCATCAAGTGGGTAGAGGCCAAGGATGATGCTAAACATTCTGCAGTGCACAGGACAGCCCCTCACAACACAGAATTACCTGGCCCAAAATGTCAGTACTGCCTCCACAAACATAATACGTAATTATGCCTCTCACCACATTTCTTACCTTGCACTTGGATTACTTGTTATTTCCACCGTCTGATTTCCTTGGGGGACGGGACTATACTGTAACATCTATCTTTATCTCCCTAGTGCTAAACACAGAGACATCCGTTAATAAACTAGAGGCCCGGTACACGGATTCATGCACCAGTGGGGTCCCTCGGCCTGGCCTGCACCCTCTTGCAATCCGGACCCATCGGGGGATGTCAGAGAGCCGGTTTCAGCCCGATCCCCGCAGGATAGGCCGAGGGACCCACCAGGCCTCTAGTATGCACATAAGATCTTTGGTTAATCTCTTCCCACCCTCTCCCCTCACCCCCTTCCCTCTGAGATTCATCTGTCTGTTCCATGTTTCCATGCCTGGTTTCCACTCCTGCGTTGAGCGTCTGCCCCCTGGTGGTCAGTGCGTGTCATAGCTACCGGACAGTCGGCAGGTTGGCTGGTCACTTAGGCTTTTATATATATAGATTACTATCCAGTCACTTCCAATTCATGGAAACATCTGTAAGCATAGACGCTGAATCTTATATGTGTACCCTTGACTTGTCATGAGGCAGGGATTAATCTTTGTGGGTAGCCAGGACTCTAAGAGCTAAAGTATTTGGAAAGATGTTGCCTTAATTGCCCAACATTACTCTTTGTAGAGCTGTATAGAGGGCTGTAAAAATAGTGTAAACTAATAAAGTAGATCCTGCTATCAGGAGTCACCACCCACATGTGACCTTTGGCACTGGGAACTATAGGTTTCCTGTGCTCTTCATTTGACTAGAAGTGATTTGGGGCTTTTTCAACCATTAATGTTTAAAGGATTTTATTCTTGATCATGTACAGAATTACCTTATCAGTGCTTTACTTTATATTAGAGTTATAGGGAATTTAATTTGTACTTCCAAACATCTTCATTTTATCTCAATGAAAGGTTCCAATGGGTGGAAAAGAGCGAATGGCAGAATTTCCTCCTCTTGTTGCTGAAGACATTACATTAGAAGAAGGACTTGGGAAACCTGAAGCAGTGGCTGACATCAAGTTTTCTTCTGCAGGTAATTTTATACCAGGCACTTTTTTTTAATGGTTTTATTGATTTTTGAGAGAGAGAGGAAGGGAGAGGGAGAAAGAGAAAGAAACATTAATGTGAAAGAGAAACATGGATCAGCTGCTTCCTGCATGCCCCCTACTGGGGATCTGCCCAAAACCCAGGCATGTTCCCTGACCCAGAATCAAACTGGCAACCTTTTGGTGCACAGGACGATGCCTAACCACCTGAGCCACACTGGCCAGGGCACCAAGCACTTTTTAAAAAGATGAATAAAGTAGCCTTTTTTATTAGAAATGTATCTTAACTAACATAAGGTGACTGTTCTACTGGCACATGCTAGAAAATGCAACCTTCTCCGAAAATAAATTTGTACCTTTTTACAAATGCATGGTATGCGTTTTTAAAATACAGCGTGAAAGAACAGTAGCCTCCTCCATGCTCCATTTTAAGCTTTAGTTTAGTGTTTTCAATAAGGTAGTTGTTAATATACCTGGCAGGGGAGATACCATGATCACAAAGGTGGTCTTCCCAGGGCGAGGGTTATCCATTGCACTCCAGATGTGCCGACCCCTGCGATTTCCCCAAATGTGGGAAACCCAACTGCATAGTTGTGATAGTGGTGGGCAGGGGGGAAGATAGTTGCCACCACCATTTTGTGTTCTGCTGTGTGCCTGCATAGGTTGGGTTGCAGTAACGCCTCAGTTTAAAGACAGAGTACATCTCCGAGGCTATACACCTCAAGGAACAGTGCTGACGGTCCGGCCACCTCTCTTGCCACATATCGTTAACATCAAAGGAGAGCGCATCAAAGGAACTGTGGCCTATAAAACCAAGAAGCTTCCTTCCCTTGTGTGCAATCTGCAGAAGAAGAAAAACAGATGAAAATATGGAGTTGGCTTTGCTCGCGCTGGTATTAACTATGTAGCTATAATCAAGCTCCCCTGTGCCCACCCTTTTAACTACTCAGAACTGTGCCTATTTGTATTGAGTTTGTAACTATAAGTTGTTTTTTTGTAGGGTGTGTGTATGCATGTGTGACCCAAATATGCCTAAAAAGGAGTTCTGCTTCATTCAAGTTTCTCTCACTACTGTTTTTTTATTGACACCAGATGTCATTCCTTATTTGGAGTCTGAATGAGAGTTCAACTTAGCAATTGGCATATGACAAAGTGGCAGAAAATCAATTTCTCCAAAGTAAGATAGAAATGAGTAGGTGGCTCTGCACCTTGTAGTCATCCAAGGATCCAACTGGTGGAATACTCCGTGGCTTCCATCTGTAGGTCTCTGGTGTTTGTTCAAGTGGCCATCCTTTTCCAGTGAGAGGGAAGAGGGACAGAGATGAAGAGCCGGCAGCTTCCCTGCTTAAAACAAGCGGGCAAGACCTGGAAGTTGCATCCATCATTTCACACAATCCATCGGTGGGTCAACAGTCACCTTGCCATACCCATCCACAAGAGAGCTGGGATGTAGAGGGAAATAGGGACCATTTCAGATTTTTATTACTGAAGGGGAAAATGAACACTGGAGAACAAGCAGAAGTTTACCTGACATGAGTTAAAAGTGTCTGAAAAATCTTAGGTACAGACGGATTCAAGTTATATCTTTCTAGCAACCATAGTCACCATTTTAACATTTGTGTATACTGTATAACATTACATTAATCAGAAGTTTATACCTTTCATTATTCCTAGCTAAATACAATGAACAATTGGCAAGTTAAGTCCCAGATCCCGAAGTTGAGTAAATGCTAGTGGGATACATTGGCCTGAATTGCAGTCAGATCCATGAATTTTCTGTTGACTCAGATTTAGCATACGTTCCCTGTCAATGTGTATCCTCTAGCCCCCTTCTCTCTAAGGCCTCTTAGAATAAGATGTAACTTGTAAAACTTTGTAGCCCTCACTTCCATTGTGTTTCAAAGTGAGTACTATTGGCATTTGGGGAAGGTAGTTCTTTTTTTTTTTAATATCTTTTATTGATTTTTTTACAGAAAGGAAGGGATAGGGATAGAGAGCTAGAAACATCAATGAGAGAGAGACATCGATCAGCTGCCTCCTGCACACCCCTACTGGGGATGTGCCAGCAACCAAGGTACATGCCCTTGACCGGAATCGAACCTGGGACCCTTCAGTCCGCAGGCCGGCGCTCTATCCACTGAGCCAAACCGCTTAGGGTGGGAAGGTAGTACTTTATGTGTAAAACTGCATTTATTAAATTCCAGTAGCAACTCCCCCATACCCCATCAGTCACTGACAACCTAAAAGTACCACTGACGTTTCCAAACCCACCCTCTAGAGCAGCGATTCTCAACCTGTGGGTCGCAACCCCTTTGGGGGTCGAACGACCCTTTCACAGGGGTCGCCTAAGACCATTGGAAAACACATATAATTACATATTGTTTTTGCGATTAATCACTATGCTTTAATTATGTTTAATTTGTAACAATGAAAATACATCCTGCATATCAGATATTTACATTACGATTCATAACTAGCAAAATTACAGTTATGAAGTAGCAACAAAAATAATTTTATGGTTGGGAGTCACCACAACATGAGGAACTGTATTAAAGGGTCGCGGCATTAAGAAGGTTGAGAACCACTGCTCTAGAGGGCAGTAGCTTCCCAAGTCAAATTGGTGGCTGATTTCTAGTTTTTCATTATGGACAGAATGAAATACCATTAATTTTATAAGTTAAATTGTAGCCATTATATTCCTATCTACTGTTTATAGTTTGAAGCTTAGGCCTGACTCTTTAGATAGAATGAAGGGAATACGGTAAAACTGGCATTTATAGAGAAATACAGAACCTAAAAACTGATGCTATCATCAACCTGATAATTTCTAAATATGTATTTCAAAAGCAGAACATTTCTCCCTCCTTCTCTCTAGGCTTTTAAAGTTTTGAGTGTTTTTTTTATTTCAGAGAGAAAATGGGAGAGGGAGACAGGGATAGAAACATTAATGATAAGAATTATTGATCAAGTGCCTCCTGCACGCCTCCTGCTGGGGATCGAGCCTGCAACCTGGGCATGGGAATCAAACCGTGACCTCCTGGTTCAACCATTGAGCCACATCGGCTGAGCCAAAGATTCCATTTTTAAACATTAATAACATATTCTCAGGTCTTTTGCCTCTAAAATTCAATGCTTTGGTTTCATAAAGTCTGACTGAGGCATATCTTAAAATGTTCCAAGGTGCTTTGTTAGGAGTTTCAAACATTACAGTTTACTAAATAAGTTTGTGTCCCTAGTTATTTTCTCACCTATAAAGTGAGGAAAGAGCAGATTTTTCTGAACCTTTTATGATTCTCAGTAAAAAGGCAGGAAATGGGTGGTTCTGAAACCTCACACAAAAAAGACCATGCCTAGACAGTCAAGGACTTCTGCTAGGATCTGGTATTAATTTACTTCATATTCTGCCAACATAATGCAGCCCAGATCACGGCTGCCTATTCAGCTGTTCCACAGTGGATTGTGCTTTAAGAAAATTCTGTTACTATATTGGTTTCTGAGCTTTAGTCAGTTTACTGATACTTCTTAATCCATTAGTCAGAATATAAAGACTTCCCTTGAATCAGTAATCATTGAGCTAAGTCAGGACAGCCCCCTCACTTCCACAGAACAGGTTGTTCTGAGTGACTAGAAAGCAAGTTTATATTAGGTCATTTACTTGGATCTGCAGGCCTGTGGTGGTCAGTATGTCACTTCTTTGTATTTGTGACACCTAAAAGGACAAAGTATGTGCCACTAAAGGGCTTTTTTACTTCAATGTAATATTAAACTCAGAAGTTTTTTTGTTTTAATATATGTTTATTGATTTCAGAGGGTAAGGGAAAGGGAGAGAGAGAAATAGAAACATCAATTGCTGGGCTGCCTCCTGCACGCCCCACACTGAAGATTGAGCCCGCAACCCGGGCATATGCCCTGACCGGGAATCGAACCATGATCTCCTGGTTCTGGTTCATAGGTCTACGCTCAACCACAGAACCACACCGGCATGGCTCAAGTCAAAGCTTTATTTTTAAAAGTTATACCTCCTTTTTCCCCCTTTAAAACAGCACCATTTTTTCCAGTTACTGAGACAAAATTAAGTTTAACACATTTTGTATTTTTAGTCACCATAAATGGCAAGCCATACGGATCTTTAGAGCTTTACCATGTAGTTCCCCAGAGTCTAAATTTGTTTGTTACTTGCGACACTCACTTCCCATGGCCACCGAGAAGAAGTGGAGTACAGATGCATGCTTATGCGCTTGTGTTTTTTGATCATTCAGACACTTCTTCAAAATGGAGATCAAGACTAGTTTTCTGCAGATGACTAACTTGGAGCTTCAGCTGTGCCAGCCATGGCAGAGTTGTTATTGCCTCACTGAGTAGGCACCCAGTGCTGGGAGAGCTGTTTCGTAGACAGCCTCTGATCATTTACCCTGGCTTCCCTCCCACTTGGCTCTGCCTTGTGGAGCAATAGAATCATTTCCATTCTTTCTCAGACTGTTCCATTTTGTCTTGGCTGCTTTCCTCCTCCCTCGGGGATTGTTTTCTCTCAACTGTCAAAGAGTAATGCTTAAACATTAAAAACAAGACTTCAGGCTCATGTGACTCGAATAGGGAGCACCTCTGCCTGCTCTCAGTGTCTCTCCGTTGTGTCTGCCCCACTAATGCCCTGTAGTGGGAAGGACATGGTGCAAGTCTAATACTTTAACATCATTTAGGAATGATGCCTCATGGTTTCCCTTCATGTCAAAGAACATCCTTATTTTCTCTTTGAAAATATATTTAGTAAAGGAGTTTCATGATCTGAATATTTCTGAGTTTGTCTAGATCAGTGGTAGGCAAACTCATTAGTCAACAGAGCCAAATATCAACAGTACAACGATTGAAATTTCTTTTGAGAGCCAAATTTTTTAAACTTAAACTACATAGGTAGGTACATTGTTATTAACTTAATTAGGGTACTCCTAAGGCTTAGGAAGAGCCACACTCAAGGGGCCAAAGAGCCGCATGTGGCTCGCGAGCCGCAGTTTGCTGACCACAGGTCTAGATCATCCTTAAAACAACCATTGCTTGAACCCTGGATTCCTGTTTTTCAAAAGCTTCCTTTTACTTCCCAAATAATTCTCAGAATCAACCTAGTGGAAGAATGTATTGGGTCTTAATATTTCATTGGTAGATGCAATAGGTATGATGCTTAATCACAGACATTGTCAGTACCTTTGGCCAGTAGCTGAAGTAAATTTGAGAAAACTGAGGCCGCACAAAAAAGACACACATATACTAAAGAACACCATCAGTGATGGCCTGCCAAGATAATTTCTTACTTTTCAGTAAGTGCCTGGAAAATGGGCATTCAATGAATGCATGAATGAATGAATTAGGAGAATGAGGGGATTTTTTTGTTTGGTTAGTTTATATCTTCCTTGGACAATAGCAACAGAACAGATTTAAATTTGCTTAGTAGCATTTACACTTTTCTAGGGTTTCTTCCTTTCTTGCATAAAGGTAGTAGTACTTCATGTTAGTTATATTTCAGACTACTCATAGTTTCAATAATCATGATAGCCCACATATCGTATTATTCTTTTATATAATAACCAGAGGCCTGGCACACAAAATTTGTGTGTGGGTACAGTCCCTAGGTCTGGCCTGAGATCAGGGCCATCTTCCCCAGCTGCCCGCAGCTGGCCCCGCCCCCTGCCGCCACCCACCCCCGGTTCCCTGTTCACCATCAGGTGATAGGTGCCTGACAGCCGGAGGAAGGGACCGAGAGTTCGGCTGTTCCTGCTGGCTCGCTGGCCCCGTCCCTGCCGTGGCCATCAGGCGATCAGAGCCTGCCAGCCGGGGAAAGGGACCAAGAAGTGGTCAGTGTACCTCATAATGACTGGCCCAGTGGTTGTTCCGCCGTTAGGGTGAATTTGCATAGTACCCTTTTATTATATAGGAAGGCCCAGTGCATGAATTCATGTACCAGTGGAGTCCCTCGGCCTGACCTTTGGGATCAGGCTGAAACCAGCTCTCCAACATCCCCTGAGGGGTCCTAGATTGCAAGAGGGTGCAGGCCAGGCTAAGAGACCCC